AGTGTAAGAACTGCCCGCTCACTTGTCCCTTCTATGTTGAACTGGGAGTTGCAAGGTTAGACATCAGACAGCAGCGGACGCCTGGGCAGACCATGAGTGTCCAGGGATCTGGCTCTAGGAGGGCCCCCTGCTCCCCAACCTGGGGCTGCATGGCAAGCCACACTCAGCCACTCTTCAGAATTCTCTTCCCGCTGGGCTGAGGCACACAGCCTTCCGGCCGTGACAATTGGCGGACGGGGTGCCACCCTGCGCCCTGGCCCCAGGGAAGTTCGAAGTGGCTGACCAGAGGGGAATAAGACTACAGAGGAAGAAAGGGTGGTGGTGGTGGTGTGTATTGGGAAAAGGGGCGGGGCAGAGAATGGGCCGGCTGACCACACTACGCTGGGGGTCTGCGCTGGCCACTGCTGGAGTGGTCCAGGGTGGGGTCAGGGCTCAGAGCCAACACAAGAGCTTGCTGGGGGATGTGGGAGGGGCCACTCCTGAACACAGTCGATTGCGGTATTCGTCCCCTGGTCATCTAACCACCTATGTGTTCCACATTCTGGCTGGAGGTTGTGGATACTGTAAGGGTTCCCAGGCAATGACAGACACACATGCAGTCACAACGGATGAGGGTCAGACCTGGGACAAACATGGTACTCAGGGAACCCTTGGAGAGCCTAACTCTTGAGTAAGAAAGTGGCTCCAAGCCTCGGCTTCCCCTGATGGGGAAGGGGAGGGGAGGGAGTCTGTGCACCGTACATCACGCAGCCCTTCCTGAAAAGCACTTGGCTGAGCCTCCCCGGTGCCCAGGAGAGAGGTCCCGTTAGGGGAACCTATGGCTGTAGGCACAACCACAGCCATCACTGGGGGTCACTGGGAACCCGAGCAAGTGACCTCACAGCCCCATCTGCGTTTCCTCTTCTGGAAAATGGGGCTGCAGTAGATGGTTTCCAGAAGGCTTCCCAGACCTAGGATTCTGTGTTCTATGACCTTGCAGTTTAGTTAGGGATGGTAGGAAATTACCTTCCCCCACCGAGTTCTCCTCTGCACAGCCTGTTTGGAGGAAGCCTGTGGTAGACACTGGTGACAGTGATAAAGATCTGGCCTGCGGATTTTCTGGGAGGCTTTTCCTTAAGACAAGACCTACAGTCCTGAGGCTTGTGGGACCCCCATAAGTCACAATTCCAGACCTGCCACCTCACCTGATCTCCTAACAGCCCCGCACAGTGGACAGGACACATGCCAAGGAGAGACCCTCTCCGTGCAACTTCACCCGTGTTCCTGGGAATGGGACATGACAGGGACACCCCCACCCCACCCGCGGAACTCCCTGCCCTGCTTCCCGGGCACAAATAGGAAGTGAGCCCAGACCTTCCCAGCCTCTGGGTCTGAGAAAGTCTCCGGGGGCTGGAGCTTCAGCAGGGCCGGCGGGGGCAGCTCGGGCTCCTATTTCCAGTTGTGTGGGAGGGCTGGCGTTCAGCAGACCTGCAGAGGGCCCCTGGCCTGTGAGGGGCGTGAAGAAGCCTCTGACTCCAACCTCCCTCCCACCAAGTGCAGTGAGCTGTCCAGAGAGTTCTTCCCGCCTGCCTTTAGCTGAGCGCCGAGCTGTCCTCCACAGCAGCCGTGGGTCTGATCGGGAATCCCCAGCCCAGTAGCCTGGACCCTTAGCAGCTGCTCCCGCCAGCCCTGCAGAAAGAGCCCACCAGCCATCACCACGGCCCAGGATGCGAGCTGGCCTGAGATCCCCTCCCAGAGAGCCGGAAAGCGGGGGTGATGGCTGGTTCCCCTCAGTTCAACAGTCTGCGTAAAACTTCAGCAGCTGCTCTGTGCCCTGGAGATGGAGAGGGTACGCTGCTGCCCTCACCCCTGGGGGACTCACTGCGTGGCGGGGGAGGCACCCAGCAGACCCCCCAGCCTAACGGGCTCCATCTAGGAAAGCAGGAAAGACACCTCAGCAGGATGACACCTGAGGGCAGACGGGAGGTAATTCTCCAGCCTTCCCTGCTCAGGGGAATTCAAGCCCGGGGGAGTCCCTGTCCCAGGAGCTCCCCCTTTGCCTTCGAACATGGACCCCTGAGAAAAGGTAGGCGGGGTACAGCCTCCATGCTGCACCCGCCCAGGGCCACCCCTGGAGAACTGGCCCGGGCATACCATGCTCCCCTCCTCTGCCCTTTCCAGGGTGGCCACATCCTGCACCCTGGCCAAGTTGTCACCTGGCACCTTGGTAACCCCCCCTCCGTGTTCCCTCACTCCCAGCCCCACCCGTACCCTCCTCTTCCCAGACCTGCTGAGACGGTCTGCCCCGCCCCCACTCTGGCTCACTCCCGCCTCAAAGCCATCCCCATCTCCCCCCACCCCGTCCCTCCTCAAAACCTTTCTACAGCTCAGACCCCAGCTCAAGAACCCCCATTAAGACACCAACCTCGAACCCGTGTGCTCCCTGCGCCCCTCACTTCACTGAGCCCCAGCCCCCCTAGAAAATTGTCTCCCATCCCCCGCTGGCCCTTCTGTGTTAAAATTCTCCACAGAAACCCCCACCTCCTTCCGGAAGCTTGGCCTTTGGTCGCCTCTTCCCAGATCTTAGTGTTTCTTTACACAAGCCTCCCCCTTCCACAGCAAGTTTCAGGTTTTATTACCCCAGGGATGGGCGCCCCACCCATGAGCAGACCCCTGTAGCTGGGGGTGCCTCAAGCCAACCAAGCGCTCGGTACATGCACTTTATTCATTGCAATGGCTAAGCTTCACCGAGCTCTGGCCACGAGCTGGGCACAATGTCAGGCTTATTCCACAAGTTACCTTCACAGCAACCTGCAGGTCAGAAATCTGTCACCATTTCACAGATCAGGAAAGCGAGGCTCAGAGGCACGGCTGGCCATGTGATTCAACCAAATGGATCCCAAGCCGGAGAGCCTCAGGAAGGGGTCTCACGCACGGTCGGCCCCTGGGTCGGCCCCTGGGCACAGCGCTGTTTCAGCCGCAGGCTGCTCGACCCGTGGCCATCTGAGAGGGAGGCTCCCAGGGGGCAACCCCTTCGTTAAGGAGACTCACCCTATAAGCCTGTGTGTTCAGAACTGAATCACAGGACGCCCCAACTTCTGGGGATCACACCTTCCCTGATGACTGTGGGTGGCCCAGGTGGCCACACCTACAGCAGGGCGGAGATGAGGCGGTCCTTACCGACCCCTCCACAGTCACTGCTCACCAGGCAGGTAGCCCCTCAGCCCTTTCCGGCCTCTCTGTCTTCGAATACTAACCATAATAATCCCTTGCTGATGTACACTTTTCAAAGCATTTATTTTCACTGCATATTCTAATAATAGCATTAGTGGGGAACTCGGAAAGGCCAAGTGACTTGCTACTGGGGGCAGGGGGAGGTTCTGGTTGGTTTTTGTTCGCCGCTTATCACACTCCTACCATGCCCTGTGCTGGGCTTGAGGCTGGCCTCCTGGAAGGGACGGGGCTTCCGGACAGTGCCCAGAGCCCGGGACCACAGTCCAGCCCTGAAGCCAGCAGAGCTGGGCTGGCCGTTCTTCCCACAGGCAGCTCCAGAGCCCCTCCTCTCAGGGCAGGAGGGTGGGGGTCTTGTCGCTCAGTCCCCACTCTCTCCTCAAAGCTCAGCCTCTGTAAGCTGGGAGCACTGGGAACTCCCCCACCGCCCTTCTTCCCTTCTGGGCCACACTAAGTGGCTCCTTACAGGGGAGCACTGGCCAAGGCCCCCAGTAAAGTCGGCCAGCCTGAGGGCAGGGCTGACCAGAGCACTTTCTCTAGCATCTTCTCAGCCCTGCCTGAGTACAAACCTCCGGAGACTGGCCCCGTCAGAACCCTTGGATGCTCCTCACACTGTGCACCTCCTCCAGGCACACCCTTCGCCCCTGGAAATGCCCTTCCTTCCCCTTCAGGCCAGGCTGGTGGAGCCTTGGGGCTGCCCGCGGAGGGTGTCTGACCTCCGGCCCCTCCCCCGCACCAAGGAAGGCTCCCTGGGGTGCAGAAGCAGAGAGGGGGCTATACTGCCATCGCAGTCCACGCTCCCTCTGAGTTTCATCCCAAATGCCAGCACCTGCCAGAGCAGGGGCCCTTCCCTGCATGGGCTCTCACCGCGGCCCTCCTGACCCCTGGGAAGGACCCGCACCCTTTCTTGCTACAGAGTCCTGCTCGGCTGGGCGAGAAAGAGCTGCACCTCTGTCTGCGGCGGAGACTCCAGCTGTTCCAGGGGCTGTGGAACGTCCACCTGCTCTGATAGCGTTCGCAGCCACCGCCTGTCCTCCCGAAAGGGTAACATTTCACCTTCAGACGGAAATTGGGGTGTTTCTGAGGTGTAGCCCAAGCGGCAAGCGTAAGTTCCTGTTCATACCAAGCGGCTGGAGAGGGGCCATGAGCTAAGAAGGGATCCTTTGATGAGACGGAGGCAGGGACCACACTCGGGTGACTCCGGGACGGTGGACGGTGGACTTACTTCCCCTGCACCTGCCCCAACACGGGCTCGGTGGGCTGAGCCTGCACACACAGCCTGCAAAAACCTCTTTGCCATCAAGTAATAAATATATCGGGGTGGACGCTTGTCACCTGCTTTGGGAACTTCATCAGGAGCGCTCGGAGTGCCGTTTTGCCGGGAATCAACGATCACATAATGCCGCCCCTCAACCCTTCCAACTCGGAGTAAAGGAGTAATCAAACCCTGAGTGGACACACTCAGGGAGCCGCGGGGTGCCCCAAGTCCCCGCTCTCTCTGCCTACAAACTCATTTAGCGCCAGCGCTCCTCCGCCTGACCCGGTACCATTCGCTGCCCACTCCTCCGGAATGGAGACCAGATGCAATCCGCACTCGCGGCCCAGCACCTGCCGGTTCTCGGCTTTGGAAGGGGCGCGAATGCTGCAAGGTCAGACTCCGCGCGTGGCCCCAGCGGGAGGTGGGCGGACGGGCTGCTCCGGTCCGGCCTTGAGGCTCCGCGGGCTTCGCCGCAGGCCCGCCCTGCGGGAGGCGCACGGACAGAGGGTCCCAGCGGGGCCCGGGCACTCACCATTCTGGGAGAGCGACGGCAGCGGCGGCAGCAGCAGCAGCAGCGCCGAGAGGGCCAGCGCGGAGCTCATCGTGTCCTGGCCCCGGGCCCGGAGCAGGTGGCTGCGAGGTTGGCTGAGGCTCCGGGAGCCCGAGCGGTGAGAGCGTGGGCGCAGCAGCGGAGGCCTGCTGGTGGCTGCGGCGGCCGGGCGCCGACCCGGTGCTCCCGAGTCGCTTACTGGTGGCCCCTTCTCGCGGCCGCTGCTGCAGAGCCGGCTGGGGCTCGGAGCCAGGCGGTAGGGGAGCCGCAGGCGGCTGCGTCGCGGGCGGTGTCTGCGCGGCTGCGGCCGGGCGGGCGGCTGCGGAGACTCCCGTCCTGTCCGCGCCGGCCCCCGCCCCTCCCCCTGGAGCGCGCTGGCGGCGGCGGGCCGGGCGGGCAGGGCTGGGCGGGCGCTGGGCTGCGAACAATGAGCAGAGGAGGAAACTCCGCCCTGGAGAGCAGCGGGCGGGGGAGCGCGGCGGGAGCGCGGCGGGAACCGGCTGGGGTGGGGGGCGGTGCGGGCTGGAGTGGTGTGTGTGTGTGTGTGTGTGTGTGTGTGTGTGTGTGTGTGTGTGTGTGTGTGCGCACGCGCAGGTGGGGGTTGTGTAGGGGGTTGCGGGCAGGGGTGGCAGTGTGTGTGCAGGGTGGTGGTGGGGTCTCCACGCTGGACCGCTCCGGGCCTCGGACTCACAGGTGTCGGCTGCCTTGATTTGGTGGGTTCCCGTGAGACCCTCACACCGCCCATGTCCTCGCACTTGCTCACATCCGGAGCAAGGGGAGCCCCCGGCCCAGCGTGTCCGCTAAGTACCATTCGAGCCTCCAGACTGCAGCGCGTCCTGCAGAGCTCCGGAAGCGTGTCTCCCGCCTGCCAGGTGCAGATCACCTGGGGGCGAGCCCGCGCCCCGCAGGCCTTCCGCGCAGGTCTGTGCCGCAGGGTGCGTGCACCGGGCGGTCTGGACCAGTTAGTTGCTTACTCTCTCCAAGTCTGACTTCCTCACTTGTGAAATGGAGATGATGGTAAAAATAAGACATTTTGAAGGATTAATATGTGCCAAAGACCTTTAGGTACACTAATTCATTTACTCTTCACAACATCCCTATTTTTAGCCTCATTTTGCAGAGAATTGAGTCCAAAAGAGGTTAAGAAACTTGCTGGAGATTACATAACTGGTGGGTGGCCGACCTGCCTCTGAGAGCAGCAGTCTGGAGAAACGCTTGCACACTATCAGGCAAGTAGTAACTTCTCAATAAGTATTATCTATTTTTCTTTTTAAAAACTATTGTTCCTACTCTCCAAAGAAAGAACAGCAATAAAGATTTAGGGCTCTGAGATCAAAACTGACCTGGCCTCGAAACCTAGCTGTGCCACTTAAGACCCTGGGCAAGTTCATCTGTGTACCCCGGTTCTTTGCCTCTGCAATACAGGGACGACAAGGCCTGCCTCCGAGGGTGGGTGGCCGGGAGATTAACCAGGACGTTCCGGGAAGAGCGTTGAGCCAGGAGCAGCAGGAGCACGGAAAGTCTCCGTGAATGAAGCGGCCAGTTCTCCGTATCATGGTGAGAAATGTGCAAACTTGGGATGGGGATGGGAGTTGAATTCCATGAATGGAGTGAACCCGGTGAAAGAACAAAGAAGCACCCTTCTTTTTTTTTCAGAAGCTGCTGGCGGTGGGCGATATGCAGACGGTGCGGCCTCCTGCAGAGGCCGCGCAGAGGCGGCGCAGGTGCGGGGAGGGGTGGGCAGGCAGGTGCGGGGAGCGGAAGCGGACCCGGAGCGGGCAGGATGCTGAACCCGGATTTGGCTCACGTGACTCTTTGGGCTGATAATCTGGAGTCTCTGCCAGAGGGGCCCGGGGTGTCCCCAGGACCCAGCCGGTGCCAAGGACCGCGGACACCTTGAGCCCCTCTGGTCGGCCGCGCGCAGGCGCGGCCTGATACACTTCGTCTCCGGAGGCGCGAAGGAGGCGCTGGAACCCGGGCTGCGCCCCCGCCACAGCCCGGGCTCCAGCTCGGGAATGGCCGACCCGGGCCGTTTTCATCAGGAAGTTTCTGCTGGATCGTTCTGGCCCCGTTTTCCGCGGCGCATATGGGAAAGGCAGAGCGTGTTCCCTGTAAAACTGGGGGATGTGTGTGTGACGGTCTTTGATGTTTTTAGTGCCGTTCTCCTGATGTCTGTGTCAACAAATGGCCTGTTTGTCCGAAACCAAGCACACTCTTAAAAACCGAGCATTAAAAAAATGTATATTCTGTTCAGTCTGATGTGAACAGGTGTTGCACTCCATGAATCGATTTCTGTAAAACTTGGAGAAACATGTTAACTTTGTAAAGGGAGAAACATGGTATCGTTACACCATTTGGGATTGGTCCTGTTACCAGATTGTGCAAAATGAGATGGGAGTAGACATCCAGGCTCAGAAAACCAGGATGCTCTTTGTAGCCAAAGACTCATCAGAATTAGAATTGCTTCTGACCCTCCCCAGTACCCAACAGCCCCCTCTTTTATGCACCATGGGGAATGAGGCCTGAGGCTGGCTGGGTTAGGGGTCACCTGTGGCCAAGGAGCAGATCGGTCTTCAGGTAACTGGCCTGTGTCCTTGGCCCTGCTTAACATCCCGCTCCCCCTGGCAACCTCCCGGGTCCAGAACACCTGAACTTCTAGTTGAAGTTCAAAGCACTTTGTAGACGTGATTCCAAGATCCGTTAGGGATTTGTTACCTTTTGATTATGTGAATCCATGAATCAGCTCCCCTAGAAGATTTTAAGCTTCTTAATGTGGCATCTTTCTTATTCATCCCGGTTCCCCAGACCACCCTACACAGCACAGAACATCGTAGGTACAGATGCAGATACTGAATGGGAACAGGAATACTGCACCCACTGGGAGATGACGCACAGGAAGCCGTGGCACACGGTCTAAGCTGGCTTTTCCCATGGTCCCTATTAAAGTCGGGGCCATGAATTCTCAGCTCCACGTACAGGTCGGTGATGTTAGTGCCCCATCCTGAAGTGCATGCGGGTTCGGCAAATCCTCTTTATCCTCACCCTAAATGACTTTCATTCCCAGTCACAACATCTGCACTGACACTGGGACAGAACCTCTAAATGCCATAACCCCAATAGAAGACAAAAGCAAACATCTATTCATCCTGAAGCCACAGCACCTGTTCAGGAGGTGCTAAGGATGCTCTCACTTTGGTTTTCTTTTTTTCTTGAAGATTTTATATATTTAGTTATTTTTAGAGCGAGGGGAAGGGAAGGAGAAAGAGAGGGAGAGAAACATCAATGTGTGGTCACCTTGCATGCATCCCCGATTGCAACTCAGGCATGTGTCCTGACTGGTAATTGAACCAGTGACCCCCTGGTCCGCAGGCCGGCACTCAAACCACTGAGCCAGGGCTTACTTTGGTTTTCAAGCCCCTGAGTTCCTTGGGGGCTTGGAGTCGTGTTCCCTTCATCTTGGACTCTCAGTGGCCAGTACAGCGGTGCCTGACCCCAAGAAGGTGGTCAATGCACAAGGGCTGAATAAATAAAGATAAGAAGTGGCTGGATTTTATCTCCACGGTTGGGCTTGATCTCTGACTGATAAGTTATACGATTCTCTGAATATCAGCTGGGGTTCAGGTTAGACGCCTCTCCCCAAAGTCATGCATTTGCATATTATTATTTAACATCTTCTGTAACATAGTGTACCAGGTCCTGTGCACAGTGCTGAGAATGTAAACACGGATGGCACAGGTCCTCCCTCTCCGGGAGAAGCCAGAGTGCCTTAGGGGCTGTAACACGTGTTGTGAGCAAAGCAAGACAGGCTCAGCTTGGCCTGGGGTGGTCAGGAAAGGCTCCTGGGGGGCAACAGGATCTTGGGAGAGGAGTAAGACCTCACCAGGGGAAGAGCAAAAGGAAAAGCATTCATGTAGATGGAATAACATGTGAAAGTGAAGAGGGGTGCTGAGAACTACGGCAATTTTTGCCCTCGGCCAAATGTAGGGTTTGTGGAGGGTGATAGAAGATGAGGCTGGAGAAGTGGATGGGGTGAGAGCCTTAGACAGGGGAAGCTCCCTGAAGGGTCATAAGCTGGAAGAGAAAAGACCAACCAGCTTTCCACAGGAACAAGATCACTCTGGCTGCATTAGACTGAAGGTTACGAGGCTGGAGGTGAGCACAGCACTGGGAGAGGTTGAGGGGCCCAAGTTCAGTGGCGGTGGGAAAGAAGGGGTACTGAGGGGCAGAAGGACTTAGTGACCTAGTGGATGTGGATGCGGCGTGTGCTGTTTTAAGGGCATGAAGCATGGTGGGTATCTAGGAGTCCAGGTTTCCTGCTTGGATTACTGGATGGATTATCCTGAGTGCCAGGGCTGAATGTCACTAACTGGGATAGAGGACATATGAAGAGAAGCAAGTTGGGCAGAAGAAAACCGTGAGTCCAGTTTTGGACATGTGGACTCTAAAGCACCCTGGGGCCCTCAGGGGCCGTGTCTGGAAGTTATATCTGTGACACTGAAGCTCAAACCTGAGGTCAGGACTGGAAAGAAAAATCAGAGAGCCATCAGTGTTCAGGCGGGGGTTGCAGCCAAGAACGCAGGTGAGAACCTGGAGCACTGTGCAGTGGAGAAGACACTGGGGGCAGGATCGCCCTGACTGGGCAGCTGGGCTGGTTGGAGCATCATCCCAATATGCCAAGGTTGCAGGTTCGATCCCTGGTCAGGACCCGTACAAGAAGCAACCAAGAATGCTGGAACGACAATCTGTCTCTCTCCTCCCTCCCCCTTCCTCTCTCAAATCAATAATACACATTTAAAAAAATAATTATACTTAAAACTTTCCAGAATGACCTGGGGAAGGGGAGATGGAGAAGGAGGAGCTGAATAGGAGGTAGCCAAGGGAGAAGTCCGCATGGAAACAGAGAGAAGAATGATTTCATAAGAAGGAGGTGGCCATGAGTGTCACCTGCTGCAAGGACTGAAACCTAGTGACTGAGCCTGACAATAAAAGCGTCATTGGGAATTTACCCAGAGTGACCTCAGTGGTGTGCAATGACTTGGGGGAGTGACTGAAGATGAAGGAGTCCTCGGGTGTGGGTACGAGAGGAAGGAGAAAATGTGGGGTAGAGGGACAGGCGCGTGTGTACTGATTCGTTTTATAATGGGAGAAGAATCCACGATCACGAGCCAAGAGGGAGAAGCCGGTCAAAAGGAGGAAATGGCAGGACGTGGGGTGTGGAGCAGAGAGACAAACCACCCCTAACGGTACGAGGGTGAGACACTCTTCATTATGGCGGATGAATATCGGCTTTGAAGTGAATCTGTCAGTGGGTCAGCATGTAATCACTGTGTGACATTGGGCTTTTACTTAACCTCTCTGAGCTGCAGCCTCCTAGAAAATAATTAGCAACATCAATTTTGTAGAATCACCGTGAGAATGTGAGGGAGTGCATGATACCTAGCTGACCAGCTGCATAAACAGGAGGTAATGTTCCTGCATCAGCAGGACTGCTCCACGGCCCCCATCTTCCT